TGGTCCTTATTATCTAATATACAGTGTTTTCTCTGATATAACTGTCATATATTATGATTCCGGCTTTACAGCTAGTGCCCTTTGACAGGAAAAAGAAGAGGAAGCAAAACTAGGTATATCAGTTACTTTGGACGTAGGAAGCTAGCCTCACACAAGGATAATTTGGTGTCTACATCCCAGTTATACCTGGTGGACTAAGCCTGCTGTACAATAATATAAGGCACCTCCAATTTATTTACTAATATATTTGGTGAGTTTGGTTGGAGCTCTGAGAGCAGAGATGGATTCCCAGCAGGAGGAGGTACGACGGCTGAGACTTCAAGAGGAAATGAAGGAGGAGACCAGTGTTGACGAGACCTCATCGTGGAGAGTAGTGAAAGACAGGGGTCTTAAGAAGACCTTGACAAGGCCGCCTACAGACGCCCTAAGGACGGCAAATTCATTTGCCGTGTTGGAGGACGAGTGCTGTAGTGCGCCTGCAGCGAGGAAATTAGCGAGGAACGGCGGAGCGCAGGCCCCTCAGGCTGCTCAGAAAGTTAGGGCGGTACCGAAGCGAATTTTGGTTGTGGGAGAATCCCAGGTGAGGTATTTAGACAGAACGTTTTGTGCCAGAGAGAGGGGGAACAGATTAAGGGTTTGCTATCCGGGAGCTGGAATTGGTGATATTGTTGAAAACATGAATGATATTATGATGGAAAATGGGAACAAACCCATTATTTGTATTAGTGCAGGGGGTAATGATGTTGGGCGAGTTAGGAGTGAGGAACTAATACAGAGATTTAGGACAGCCATTGAATTAGTTAGGAGCAAGGGAGGAATCCCGATCATATGTGGCATTCTTCCAAGAAAGGGAGTGGGAAATGAGTGGATGTCGAGGGCACTTGGTGTCAATTGCCGGCTGGAAAGATATTGCAAATCAAATGCAATATCTTTCATAGACAACTGGGAACGCTTCTATGGAAGAAATGAAATGTATTCTCGTGATGGGGTGCATCTATCGAGGGCTGGGGTTGTTGCTGTTGCGAACTCGTTGGAACCAGTGGTTAGAGGTGTTTGTTTGGGTTTAAACTGTTAGCAGATAGTGGTATGGGAATTGATTTGGAAGAAGGAGGTAATAAAAGTATGTGTTCGTGGGAGAAAAGAATTGGCAAAATGATCATGGAAAGAAAAGGGCCTCAAAATAACAATTCACTTAGGATATATTACGCTAACAGTAGAAGTCTAAGAAATAAAATTAATGAATTAAATGCTCTTGTCTGCACAGAAAAAATAGATATTATTGCACTTACCGAAACGTGGATGAATGTAGAAAATAGAGAACTATTAGCTGAATATCAGATATGTGGATTTAAACTATTTCACACAGATAGATATATTAGACGAGGAGGGGGAGTAGCCATATATGTTAGGGACAATTTGAAATGTAGTCTCAAAGAGGGAATCAAAACTGAGCCACACACAGAAACTATTTGGATAGAATTAAACGAAAAAGCAAATAATATTATAATAGGAGTTATATATAGGCCACCAAATTTAGACAGAATGGAAGCAAAGCATCTATGGAATGAAATATCTAGAGCATCTAGATCTAACAGTATTTATGTCATGGGTGACTTTAATTTTAGTGGAATAAACTGGGGGAACAAAACAGGGAATAGTGAAGCAGAAGATTTTCTAGAATTAATTGACGGTTGCTTTCTTACGCAACACATTATGGAACCAACACGGGAAAATAATATTTTAGATTTAGTGTTAACTAACAGGGAAACACAAATTAATGACATCGAAATAGGGAGTGAGCTAGGGAACAGTCATCACAAAGTAATCAGATTTAGCATAGAATGGAATAGACCTGTAGGAGAAAATTCTGTTAAAGTGCCAGATTTTCGAAAAGATGATTTTAATAGCCTAAGAAAATTTTTGGGTCAAAAAGATTGGAAAGTCTTGGGTATGGGGTGTGGGCCGGTCTTAGAGCGAGACATGAACCCAGCGACAGGTGACGTAAAAGGGGATTTCGATGTGGATTTAATATATAACTTATTTAAGAATATTCTAAACAAAGCACAGGAACGTAGTATACCATACAAATTGAATAGATCGAATACTAATGACCCAAAGTGGATAGCAAATAATTTAAAGAACCTTATAGGTAAAAAGAGAGCTTGGTACAAAAGGATTAAGAATGGGGAAGCCAGGTTAGAACAGGAATTCATACAACTGGTTAGAAATGTTAAAAAAGAGATTAGGAAAGCAAAAAGAAACTATGAAGTTCGCATAGCAGAGCAAGCAAAGTCAAATCCTAAAGGGTTTTTTCAGTTATATCGAACTAAGACTAGGGAAAGGATAGGTCCATTAAAATCTGAGACAGGTCAAATAACGGATAATGACAAGGAGATGAGTAGTATTTTTAACAAATATTTTATATCTGTATTTACTAAAGAAGAACTTAACAATATAATGACAAGGAGATGAGTAGTATTTTTAACAAATATTTTATATCTGTATTTACTAAAGAAGAACTTAACAATATGCCTTCAGCCGAACAAGTCTATGTGGGTGGGGATGAGGACAGGTTGACTAGTTTAGCAGTTACCAGGGAGGATGTAATTAAACAATTAGAAAAACTAAAACCAAACAAATCCCCAGGGCCGGATGAAGTGTTTGCCAGGGTGCTTAAAGAATGCAAAGAGGAGCTTTCCGAGCCACTGTCTACCATATTTAATAAATCAATAGTGTTAGGTAGAGTGCCAGAGTCATGGAAGGTAGCTAATGTGGTACCAATTTTTAAGAAAGGAGATAGATCACTTGCGTCAAACTCTCGGTCAATTAGCCTAACGTCTATTGTGGAAAAGTTACTTGAATCAATAATTGCAAATACAATTCGTCTCCATCTTGAAAAACATAAATTAATAAATGAGTCGCAACATGGTTTTACTAATGGCCGTTCATGTTTAACAAATTTGCTAACTTTTTATTCCAGCATAGTTGAGGCAGTTGATAGTGGTAAGGATTGTGATGTTGTGTACCTTGACTTTAGCAAAGCTTTTGATACAGTGCCACATGAAAGACTAATTAAAAAAATAGAAGCTCATGGTATTGGGGGTGCTATATTAACTTGGATTAGGGCATGGCTATTCCAAAGGAAACAGAGAGTTAGTATAAATGGGGTTAAGTCAGAGTGGGATAATGTTGTTAGTGGAGTACCTCAGGGCTCTGTCCTGGGCCCTCTGTTGTTTATAATATATATAAATGATTTAGATTCAGGTTTGAGTAGCAACATTTGCAAATTTGCCGATGATACGAAAATCGGTAGGGAAATTAATTCGGAGGAGGACTCACTAGCACTTCAAGTTGATCTAGATAGGGTTTTGAAATGGTCAAATGATTGGTAAATGCAGTTTAACGCTGATAAATGTAAAGTTCTGAGGCTAGGTAATGATGATAGAGTTACAAGATACGAGCTAGATGGTGTTGAGATTGCGAAGTCGGATTGCAAAAGGGATCTGGGAGTTATGATTAGTAAGAATTTAAAACAAAAGGATCAATGCATGAATGTTCGTAATAAGGCGAATAGGACACTGGGATTTATTAATCGAAGTGTTAGTAACAAGACACCTAGTGTGGTTCTTAAGCTATATCTTGCTCTGGTTAGGCCCCATTTAGATTATGCAGTTCAGTTTTGGTCGCCGTATTATAGAATGCATATATATTCACTTGAACGTGTCCAACGTAGGATGACTAAGTTAATTCCCCAAATTAGAAATCTTTCATATGAAGAAAGATTAACAAAGCTTAAGTTGCATTCACTGGAAAGGCGAAGAGTTAGGGGTGACATGACAGAGGTTTACAAGTTGGTGAATGGACATAACAAAGGGGATATTAATAGGGTATTAAAAGTATCAACACAAGACAGAACACGAAACAATGGGTATAAATTGGATAAGTTTAGATTTAGCAAAGACTTGGGTAAATACTGGTTCAGTAACAGGGTTGTTGATTTGTGGAACCAATTGCCCCGTAACATTGTAAAGGTGGGGTCCCTCGATTGTTTGAAGCATGGGTTGGACATGTATATGAGTGGGATTGGGTGGTTATAAATAGGAGCTGCCTCGTGTGGGCCAATAGGCCTTCTGCAGTTGCCTTTGCTCTTATGTTCTTATATGTAGTTTAATACTGTAGTTTGATTGACTGCATATATATAAATTTAATATAAAACCCCCCCTAATGTGTAAGGATCGATTTGTGAGATTATTGCAGAAATACAGTCCACTTAACATCATACCAATTGCTATCGAAGTATATAAATTAACGTAAATATTAATTCTATATAAATTCATATAAATTAAATAATTATAAATCTCACAGGTCGGTTCCCACAAGCCGGGTCGAGCATGCATTAAGATTGATAAAATGTAATTTCTTGTTTGTATTTCTGAGTCAGGAATTACTTTATTCAATTTCATTGCTTAGTGTTATAATCAATACTTGCTTGTTGTGAAACCACGTTATTATATACGGTGCTTAAACCGTATTGCTTGTAAACCGTATTGACTCATTGCAGGTTGCTCCGCTGCAATTATATGACCACTAAAGCCTCAAGTTTGGCGATGCCTTTGTTTTACAACATGTGGTGTTTATGTAATAGTTGTTCTATTATGTACTAATAATAGTATGTAGTAATTAAGTTGTACATAAGATTGAAGTGCAAGTGGTGATGGATTTGCTTAGTGTTGTTTACCCCCATTACCGTTGGATTGTCCATTACTACCCAGGTCATAAGAATTTAACCCTGACATGGGGTTAGATCTGGTAAGACTCACTAAGGCCCTATAGAAATTGTAATGAAAGGAACCCAGTTGCTAAGTGAGGCCGTAACATGTGCTAAATAAACTAAATTATTATTTCTTCCTACCTCTTGTATAACTATAAACTGTATATTGTGAGAGACCTGGAAAGGTAGAATACCATGTCTAATGCAGGTCCCATAAGTTGTAACTTACGAGAAGTTGAGAGCCTTGGCCAGGTAGGATACCAGGTAAGCCATTGGTCCTGAAAATTCTACCATCTCTCCCTGGCGGGCCTGAACGTCTTCCTGGGTAACCATAGTCATCAGTGGAGTTGTCTCCGCTGCCAGCTTCAGGGTCGGCCGCTGAGAAAATCTAACATCAGAGAAAATTTAATAAGATCCATCATTCCAACATTTCAGTAAACAGTTTATTAAACATTCTTTAAGTAATTATTTGTCAAGCATCTTTAACCGTTTATATATAATTTTTTATATTAAGACTTGTTGTTATGAACAACAAGTCAACAAGTTATGATATTTTAAATTATCTATGTAATATATTCAGTTGTTGACAGACAAATGTTTTTACAGCTCTAATGTGACTTTGATACAAATATCTCTAACAGTTAAACTTTCATAGGGTTATAGAAGACATCAAGTCTAAAGTACATGGACAAAGACATATTTGATCATTATACTTTATTTGTGAAAATTAAACCATTTAGAAATACAAATAAATGCACATTGCATGAAATGGTAAATAATTTTATTAATTGCTACAAAATATCTTAAATCCTTGCACTATATCCATATGTCGTTTATTTATATCTATAAGAGTGTCTGTTTATCTAAGAATAGGTGCCAGATGTTTAGGACTAGCCTCACTCAACTTTGCAGGGGGAATGGATTTGTGTACAGGACGGCCATAGGTTGGTCAAAGTTTCTAAGAATTAAAAAAGGAACAGCATGCCATGGTCACATACTGAGCATCCACGATTTGGGTTCTTGCTGGCAGTTAACTAGTTGTAAAATAAAAAAAAAATTGGTATTATATTGTAAGGAAAATAATGGGCTGATCTCGGAAAATTTAACTGAAATTTTCTAATCAAATCTTTGCTCACAATAGTATAAAACAGACGATCCTCCCACTGTTTCAAAATGTTCCTCGAGCCTTGCCCCTTGCTCAGGGCCAAAGATAAACTCATATATTTGTGTAACATTTCCCTCTGTTTGGCTTTACCCCCCCCCCCCCCCTCCCCCAGCGTCCCGCATGCCAATGGGAAACGTTTATATTATTTTTGTAAGTGAAGGAGAGAGATATATTCAGCAAAAATACAGAGACAGACACACTGAATGAGAAGAGACATGGACAAACGTACAGATACAGATACTCCTGCAGAGAAAAAGGGTTGACCATGGCAAAGAGAGAGAGAGAAAGAGGAAGATAGACAGAACAGCAGAGACGCGAAAGTAGACAGAACAGCAGAGGCAGGAAAATAACAGCAGAAACAGACAACACACACAGAGGCAGACCCAGAGATAGGGTAAAAAAGGTGTATGTTTAAAAAGATTGAAGGAGAAAGGGGAGAGATAGGTGGAGAGAGGAGTGAGAGAGTGGAAAAATTAGGAGAGAGAGGGGTGAGAGTGGGCTAGGTGGATGTTGGGATACAGTGGAGAAGGTGGAAGAAAATCAGAATGGTAGACAGGGGGAAGAGGAAATTAAACACGATGAAAGAGAATGGTGATAGGGAAAGGGTGATGAAAGAGGAGGAGATTGGGAGTGAAAGGGATAGACACCAAGGTGCAGGTGGAGAGAGGTGAAGAGGTGCGGAAAGAGGGAAAGATTGAATGAAAGGGTAAAGAGAGAGAGAGACAGGGAATTAGGAGAGAGAAAGATGTAGGATGTTGGGGAGAGGGAAAGAGGGGGGTAGAGGGGGAAGACAGTGACGGAAGAAGAGGACAGGGGAAAATATAGAGTGGAGATAAGAAGAGATGCTGGGATAGGGAAAGATCGGTGAGAGAAGGGAATTGAGAGAGAAACCTAGGGACAGCCTGATAACCCCTAGTCTATATATCTGTATGAGAAGAGAAAATGTCTGCTTGACTGCCTGGTCGAAATTGGAGGCCACTGTTGGAACCTCACCCAAATTGGTTTGGTGTCTTAGACAAACATAGGTTGTTAGAGGTCACTAGAATTCATAAAGGACCAGCGCGCCGATACCACATTCAGACTCATACGACAATTTTTGCACTGCCCGCCAGCTAGATAACTAGCATTAAAGAAACTTTTTCTTATAGTAATTATCATGCTTATTATTTACTGATGTTGGGAAAATTACAGAAAGTTCCTGCTGTCAATAACTTGCCCGTACGTGCGTAAAACAGACAATTCTTCCATAGCGTCAAAGGGTTCTCAAGCTTCGGCTCCTTGCCACAGTAAGGGTAACTATTCTTGTTTTAATATTTCACACCACTGAGCTCCCACTTAAATATTAGACATATATATTTTTTATAAGAGAGCGACAGATAGACTGAAAGAGATAAAGACCGATTTAGAGACAGATAAAACCAGAGATAGAGAGAGACACAGATACTCAAAAACAGAGACAGACACAGCTAGAGACAGAGAGAGATAGACAATCAGACAGAGACAGTAGATAGATGAATGAATACGTAAGTGGACGGATAGATGGATAGAAAGATGTGTAAGTGTTTGGATAGATCGATGGACAGAAAGCTAGATGTATATATAGATGGATATCTAGATGGATATATTTTGATGGATAGATGACTGCACAGATGGATGGATATAAATTGATGGATAGATAGCTGTATGGATAGGTAAATGAATAGAAGGATGTATAGATTGATAAATGAACGGATAGATTGATAGATGTATATGTGGATTGAAAGATATATGGATTGATATGTGTGGCTTGATAACTGGTGGATAAATAGATGGATATGTGAATTGCAAGATGGGTAAATAGATGGATAGATCAAAAGATTTTTAAATAGATGGAAATATAGATCGACATATAGATGGAAAGAAAGATGGCTATCTAGCTAGATAGATATTAGAAATTAATAGATAGCTGGATAGATAGATTGATAGACAGATAGATCGGCAGTAAGATGGATGGATTGAAAGATGAATAGACAGATAGATATATGTACATATGGATGGATAGATATATAGATGGATTGATAGGTGATTGGATAGATAAGAAGAGACAGATGGATCGATAGATAGAAACAGAGATGGGTGACCTTTCGAATATATCTAAGCTATAAAAAATAATGTCTGCCAGTGCGATCGAAGCTGGAGACCGCACGTTGGATCTAGCCTCACCCAAATTTGCAGAGGGAATGGTCTGTGGTACTGGATAAACATTGGCTAGTCGGGGTCCCCAGAATTCATAAGGGAACAGTGACACATAGTCAGATAGAGACAGAGACAGACAGATAACGATAGATTGATGGATAGATAGATGGATAGGTAGACGGATTGATTGATGGGTAAATTTATGAATAGATGAAAGACACACAGTCGATAGATGTATAGAGATATAGATGGAAAGATAGATCGATAGATAGTATCAGGGTACCTTAAACTATCCCTCAGGTGTGACCCAACTTCACCATGGAAGTCACCTTATGAGGGAGCCGTCGAAAAATAAAATAAAAACTACTACTACAATACACACAACATCTCGTCAGTTCACGTCAAACATCCATCTTTGCTGCCGACCCAAGCTCCTAATGGTCCAGGGCCCACCTGCACCATGTTGCACAGGGTTAAGAGAACCTCGTTCTCTCCACCGTCAAGATTTCAGCACAAATCTCCGCCGCCACCAACGTCTTGCTGGCCGACATCCTGGAGACTTAAGAGGGTGTTCACCTGCTCTTCTCCAACGATTTAGACCTTGAGAAGGTACTCACCACCACCGCCACGACGGTCATGCAACACGCCGGCCTCGTCCCTCGCGTTACTACGACGCTACCTGGCGGACAGGATCATGTTCGCCAGGAATATCAGCACATGGACCATCGTCAACGATGACGACATCCTCGCCCGCATCAACAACCAGTACCCGACGCTGACAGCGGTATCGGTCAGGATCATTTCAAGTTCAAGTATGTTTACTGAGGCAAGAACAAAAAATACATCTCAAAGGGATAGAGTAGCTTAGGCTATTTCTACCCCCCCCCCTCCCCCCTCCCTTGGAAAATCATTTCCAACGTCTAAGTCAGCCGCAGACCGACACTAAAGATGACATTCACCACAGCCGTCGCAGTGACCTACGCCACGGACTATGGACTTAGTGTGCAGGAATCACCATACCACCCACCCACGTGACCATGGGACGCTTACAGAGCTCCGGTAGCGCTTAAAGAGTTACCAGTACCCCCAGTACACTAGGAAGTGCACCGAGCGAGCACAGAGGTGCAGCTTTTGCGCCCAGGAGCACCACTTCACAGACTACACATCCTCCCACCAATGTTGCCTGCTCTACAATGACCCACACTCTGCCGTCTCACCTGACTATCTCCTCCAGCAGGAGAAAATCCTAAAGATGACGGCTACCACTTCCTCCACCACCATACTACGACCATCAAATTCACTCCGGTCAGAATTTCTGGTCTTACCAGAAACACACAGGTGACTCTCTCACCACCACTGGGCCCCTTGGGGATGACGCACCCAGCCGATTGCACCACCTCTGATCACACCACCACCTGCCCAGGCTACACCAAGATCTCCCTTTTACCTGTCTTCCTTCACCTCACCAACAAAATAGCGGGCAACGACATTACCCGCTACATCCACGTCATCAACAGGCTTCTAGTCGTGAATGGACTTCCGACAGCTGCTGTACCCGATGACCTTCCAGCTTCTACAAATCCCACCAGACTCTCCACCCCAGGAACCCAGAGCTGATCCCAAGGGAGCCCTCACTGTCCAGCCACAGCGACTCCACAGTTCTCGAACATGTCCCACTGACAGGGACGGAAGGAGTAGCGTAAACTAAGACGTAGACCATCCCAAACCACGAGGAGAACCTCAGGGATTGAACTCTGTTTGCGTCAAAAGTGGGTGGGGAAGCCCATAGATTGGAACGGGTCCTGTCGTGGGGACGTTATATGTCGCAGGGGGAAAAAGGAGGGTGTATGGGTAAGAGGGTGAGGGGGGGGAGGATAAGTATGAGACAGGTGTACATCAACAAAAGTAGAGAGGGGGTGGGAGGGGATGGTCGCACATGAGGCGGGACGGGTTGTCCCCCTGGGACGTTCAGGATTGCTGAGGGATAAAAAGGGTGAGTAGTGAACTGAACAAGTGGGCAATAGCAGTAGTAGTAGATGAATATGTATGAGGAAGTGCCGTAGAGTTAATTGTATGTAGATATATAGTTAAATAACAGTATGTAGGATATGTTGAGGGGGACTAGAGAGGGGTCCCCCCTTCCATGGTAGTGTGGGGTAGGAGACCGACCCTTTAAGATGGATGGTTAGGGGTAGGGAATGTGAAGGAGGATATGGGGGAGAGGGGAAGAGAGGGGAGCAGGCGGAAGCTTTGACTGATAGTGCGAGTCTCTCATTCTATGTAGTAAAGTGTATACTTTACCAATTCTCAGCCTGTGGAGTGGCTCTCCAATATCTTCGTCCGCAGGTGATTAGTTTTCATGTTGGTGTCGAGGGGTGTAGAGAGTAGTACGTCACAGCAACAACTGAGGGGTAGGAATGACCCTACTGGTTTTGTAAACAGGGAGGGTGGGCCTCCCCATGGGTGGGCCTCTCCCCTCTCTCCCTCCCCTTCCCTAGCTTGCTTCCAGAGTAGTAGGGAGCTGCCTCAAAGGCCTGAGGAGCTTTACCACGAAGCAACATGCCCGCATGTCCGCATGGATGTGTGTGAGAGCTAGCATTTGTGTTGGTCACCTCTTTGAAGGTTGAGACATTACTGCATTGAATGACAGCAATACGCTATAGCATAGCTCACACTGCCACATAGCAACAGCAACAGCAGCACAAAGTAATATGGTTTCCACCAGCACCATCAAATGCTAGCAGAGCACTCAGGACCGGTGTGAGGTCTTTGACGCCCCGCGCATGAGTGGACTGTGTTGTATTAAGGAGGTGTCGTATGTCGCCCCCTCCCCCCTCCCCTCCCATGCAGATGGCAGTTATCAATTCCCCACTTCCATTTCCCCAGTCCTACATAAACGAAGCAAAAAAATAGTAAACACATTATATATATCGCTGTATTCATATGGGGCATGTGTCAGCCTATGATCTTGCATGTCTTTCAGCAGATGTATTAACAATAAGTAGTTAAAGGCATAAACCCTTTATATATAATTTGTAGTATTATATAATATATATAATTTATATAATAATAGTAGTATTTAATTTAAGATGGAAAACTTTAAACTAAACAGAAATGAGCACATATGAAGTGATTCTCACGTTCAGTAAACACCTACTGAGTTGTAAACTGAATGTTTAAGACACCCAATACATGGTTGATGAAAGTAATATTTTAAGATAGTGAGACTTTAAACTTAACTAAATGAACAATGAAGTGCTGATTTAGTGTGGTGTGTCTCAACCCACGTTCAGTAAATACTTACTGAGTTGTAAACTGAATGTCTAAGACACCCAATACATGGTTGATGATAGTTATATTTTAAGATAGGGAAAGTTTAAACTAAACTAAATGAGCACACATGAAGTGATTTCCGCATTCAGTAAACTCTTACTGAGTTGTAAACTGAAAGCCTGAGCCACCCAATACAAGGTTGATGATAGAAGTATTTTATTTTATGATGGAAAAACTTTAAACTTTAAACTTCTATCAAATACCTATTTGATTTGATAGAAGAAGAAAAATTGAAGATTGGTATTCCCTTTTTTTTAAGATGTAAAAACTTTAAACTATAAAAAATATTTGACTGACTGACTGACTGTTTTGCTGGTCAGGTCTGTAGGTCTGCAAAAATATTAGAATTGCACTCAGTTGCATATTGTCCTGGGGACCATTCAGGCTTGTTCGCATTTGTGTTCCTCACGTGTGCCCCAAAGAATGAGGTGATTTGGTAAAATGCTATGCCCAAGATTACTATCCGAGTGCCGGCGGTGGGGTGGTTCAAATAGCCTCGGCTATCACCTCATTATGTCCGGTCGTGATGGTCAAGTGGATTAAGGCGTCTTGTACATACCAGTTGCGTTGCTCCTGGGAGTATGGGTTCGAGTCACTTCTGGGATGTGAGTTTTCAGTTGCATATTGTCCTGGGGACCATTCAGGCTTGTTCGCATTTGTGTTCCTCACGTGTGCCCCAAAGAATGAGGTGATTTGGTAAAATGCTATGCCTAAGATTACTATTCGAGTGCCGGCGGTGGGATGGTTCAAATAGCCTCGGCTATCACCTCATTATGTCCGGTCGTGATGGTCAAGTGGATTAAGGCGTCTTGTACATACCAGTTGCGTTGCTCCTGGGAGTATGGGTTCGAGTCACTTCTGGGGTGTGAGTTTTCAGTTGCATATTGTCCTGGGGACCATTCAGGCTTGTTCGCATTTGTGTTCCTCACGTGTGCCCCAAAGAATGAGGTGATTTGGTAAAATGCTATGCCCAAGATTACTATCCGAGTGCCGGCGGTGGGGTGGTTCAAATAGCCTCGGCTATCACCTCATTATGTCCGGTCGTGATGGTCAAGTGGATTAAGGCGTCTTGTACATACCAGTTGCGTTGCTCCTGGGAGTATGGGTTCGAGTCACTTCTGGGGTGTGAGTTTTCAGTTGCATATTGTCCTGGGGACCATTCAGGCTTGTTCGCATTTGTGTTCCTCACGTGTGCCCCAAAGAATGAGGTGATTTGGTAAAATGCTATGCCCAAGATTACTATCCGAGTGCCGGCGGTGGGGTGGTTCAAATAGCCTCGGCTATCACCTCATTATGTCCGGTCGTGATGGTCAAGTGGATTAAGGCGTCTTGTACATACCAGTTGCGTTGCTCCTGGGAGTATGGGTTCGAGTCACTTCTGGGGTGTGAGTTTTCAGTTATATATATATATATATATATATATATATATATATATATATATATATATATATATATATATATATATATATATATATATATATATATATATATATATTCAGTTATATATATATATATATATATATATATATATATATTCAGTTATATATATATATATATATATATATATATATATATATATATATATATATATATATATATATATATATATAAAGGGTTTACATCTTTTAACTACTTACTGACTGATGAAAGACATACAAGACCACAGCCTGATACATGTCCCTCTCCTACTTACCCACATACATATTGCTATAAAACACAACAGTAAATTCTGATGTACCCCGCTGTGAGAGAGAAAGAGAGACAACTCCTGTTATGAGTTAGGTGGGTGGTCCCACTTTCATACCCGCTCTCATCGATGAAAAACAGAGAACGAAATGGTAGCGTCATATGTTTTATATATGTTTACTTTACTATCAGCGTAATGCTTGGAATTTGTATTTGGGGAACAATGCTCACCTATGGGGGAGAGCGAAAGGGGACCTTTAAACCTAAGTCGCTGGTGGAATAGGCTGGTATCTGTGCTTGTTCCATCCGAGTCCTGACAGTCTTCCTTCGGTTAATGTAACGTTTTAATTCTCCAACCTTAGTGGTGTGTTCGTGAACTGGTTCACTACTCAACATATGATCAAATATAATAGTAAAGGCTTTTCGCACAGAACAACCGGTCCGGGAAGGGTGGAGCAATGGTTGATGGTAAGGGCTGTGTATGGGGTGGGAGGGGAGTTGGGGTAGGAGAGGATGGGAAAATTGAAGACTG